GCCTGTCTAACATTTCGATATTGTGTGCCTCAAAGACGCTGGAAATACTTTTTTGAATTATGTCCTTATTCTTACATTCGTCCTTTTATTGATTGCTGAATTGATAACATCAACAACAAGTAAAAGAGTAGCGAAAGGCTGAATTTCAGGCCTAACGACGAGAAAGGAAGAGCCCAGACGTCCAACGTGAGATTGCTTCGCAGTTTACTAACATCGAATTCACTCACTAATTTGGGGGGATTTTGGTAGTTTTGTTCAAGAATTCAACGATGGGCCGATTTCACTGGGGCGCATGAAATCGGCCCATCGATGGATCTTATTTGTAGAACAAAAAAGCTAAAAAGTCGTCGAAAATCTCTAGTACCACAGGGAAGAAATAAAGTAGCCAGTTTCCTTAATTATAACGCCCTTACTTGTGTTACCAAGACCCCGAGCATTGATTTTGCCATGCTTTTATAAGCGAGTGATTTTAGTACACGAAAGCAGTTGTGTGTTTGGCGCACGTCGTACGTCTGCTTGAGAACGATACGCACTCTCGGCTATTGCTCACATGCTGGTTATGTTTTCTGGGGCACTGGTCACTGGCCAGGATGCAGTTGAATCGGAGGATGAAGGAGAAGAAGCCAGTCACTGCCCATTCAGCTGTCATTGATGGAGCCATTGACTGCGCTATAAAGCTGCATACTTCTAATACGGAGGTATGACTTTTTCACAGAAATTTTGATATTTTGTGTTACTTGGTATCTTCCATCTCATCTCATTTCCATTACTTGGTATTTCGCAGAAAACAATGGTATCATTTCCATTTTCCATCGTTTATTGGCACTTTCCATGTCTTAGGGCTGCGTCCTCACGATTTTTCAACATTGCGCTGGCAGCATTCAGTAACTTGCTTTATTTTTCTTTTTTCTCATTCTTGCCACATGACCAGTCCAGATTTTTTTTTCCTTTGAGCTTCCTTTCCACGTTTTCTTTTTTTTTTTCCTTATTTAATTAAAGCGTTAAAATTTAGCCCTGTAATTTGAATCACTGACTTCGAAATTGTTTTTTATTTCCCAGACATTGTAAACTTTGCGTTGTTTTGAAAGACAAGGATGAACGAATCTTTATTACTTTTTTTACTATTTCGAAAAAGGGAAGAATTTGGAAAAAAAAAATTTAAGCCTTTTCTTATAAATGATTTCATACATTCTTCTGTTTGTTTCCGTAAGAAATAGCCCTTGTAGATGAATTTTTGTTTCACTTTTGCTACAATCTTTCCGACTCCGAAGAGTCGATTCGATTCGAACCCGAGAATACTAATCTCGTTCTGTCTGGAATCAAATTTTCCTGTCGCCTGTCGTTACACTCGTTTCGTTCAGGATAGTTGCACGGGTGATGCATCTCCAGAGCAGCAGCAAGCCATTGAAAAGGCATGCTATTACAATTCAGTCCTCAGTCGGGAGAACGTGAAGACTTTCCAGCAGTATCAAGCGCAAGTGCTAATAAAGAGAGTTTTGGTCGATGCTTGCCACTTCTCGAACGCCGATATTTGCAAGGCATTTTAATTTAAATTAT